CCCCCCCCCCCCCCCCCCCCCCAGATCTCCCTCACTTCCTTGGATTCTGGCAACTGGATTCCAACTACCAAATCATATGATGGAGAACCTGGTCAAAGAAAAGATGTCTTTCGATTCCTCAAATGCTAAACACCCAGGGGTCATCCAAGGAAGACGAGCGGACAGAACTGACAAGAGAAAGCCCTCCTTCTATAACATGTAATTTGCCTGTGGGAGTCATTACCGCAGGTCACAAATTTGGTAGGCTTTCAAAGAAGACTGGGTAAGCTCATGGGGGAAAGGTCAGTCAAGGGCTGTTGGTCTTGGAAATTCAACACTAGCCCTGAATTAGAGACACAATGACTCCAAATTGCCAGAGGAGAAGAAAGGAGAAGAGGACATGCCTCCATCCCCTGATTGTAAGGACCAGGAGTGGGATGCTACCAGTTCAGCCCGGTTCTATAGTACCTGCAAAGAGCAACTGACACCGAACCATTTTGGTGTTTGGCCCACCCACCTGTCCCAACTCTAACATGTCCTTTATTCTAAGCTTTTCCCTCCTCAGCTGTTTTGCGCGGCACAGCTGAGGTTGAAAAAGCAGGAAGCAATAGGATTTTCAACCCGTGTGCAGCGCGTGTCAGCTGTCCAGGCGGCACAGCTGATTTCTTGCAAACGCTGCACACACATGCAGTTTGGAGAACCTGCAAATCGCTCTACTGGCTGGCCCCACCCCACCCCTCCCCGCCCACTCACTCATTACCTGGCATGCGAGCCATCCAACTTGCCTGGTTTGGTAAGTTGCTATTTTTTTCTTTTTCCCCCGACTATCAGTTGTTCTGCTCTGCCAGGAGATTTAGATTAGCTAGAAAGCAGGAAATCCTTGGATTTCTTGCTTTCTAGCTAATCTAAAAGCAGAGCCGAACCTTCCTTAGGACTGAAGCTTCTACTTTCCGGTGCAGACTCAGGTAGCCAATTGAAGATAGATCTCTAAATGAATCTGTGATTCTGTCAACAACTCAATCTGCCTGTCTGCTTTGCCTGCTTTTGTGTAAAAGTTGGTCTTTTTTTATTAAAAAAAATCAATATTTACATACATGGTGTATTGTGAGTTAGTTTAGTGAGTTTGCTTACAACCAAATTTTATGTGATGGACTCAGGTAGCTGATTGGAGATAGATTGATCTCTAAGTGAATCTGTGATTCTGTGAGCAACTCAATCTGCCTGCCTGCTTTGCCTGCTTTTGGGTAAAAGTTGCTCTTTTTTTATAAAAAAATCAATATTTACATCAATATTTATAATATTTACATACAAGCCATGCCCACCCAGTCACATGATCACCAAGCCACACCCACAAATTAGGCCACATCCACAGAACCAGTTAAGAAATTTGAATCCCATCCCTCTTAAGGATCTGTGGTTGCCTAACAGAAGAAACAAAATACCGGGCTATGATGGGCCTTAACCTCATCCAGTAGAGCTATTCTTACATCCTTATTCATAGTGTCTACAAATTCTTTGAGAGCTTGCTATTGCAGCCACCTTTCAACCATGGGAGATCCATCTTTGAAACTCTACATACTTTCCAGGCTATATTCAACCTGTTCTACTAACCCCAAGAGAACAGAAAGCCAATTGGGGGCCCAGATACATACATCATCAGTGAAAATCGCCAACTTTCCACTCTCTAGCATGTCTTCTAACTCTTCATTGGTTGTTGTCCTGCCAGCTGCAAGAAGGAAAAACAGAGCCATGAGGAACAACTGTGTGGTGTGATATAGCAGTTTCATAAGATCCAGCTGGCTTCTGGGCTAATTCCCAAACTGCCCCTCTGGTTAAGGAGGAAATGCCTGAATTTGTGTTTCATTCTGCTTGTTTCTAAGGTATTTAAAATCATCACTTCTAAAAGGGGGCTTCCCATCAATGGCTAATACAAGGAGAAACTATGCTGCAATGAATTGGCATAGAAAACAGACCTCCTTTGGATCTCCTAATTTGTCCTGCCTGACTCAGAAAATTTTGCAGAAGGGGCTCACTTTAGATCTCTTCACTTGGATTCCACCAACTGCAGGACTTGGGAGGAGGCATTTTCAAATTCCTTTTGAGCTCTAGATAGTACCTCATCTGCTAGATTTCAGAAGACTAGCAACATTGCAATTTCATTATCTGGCAAGGTAACATCATCAGTGCTAGTCAGTGTAGAGTTTGATTCCTGTTTATGTTTATTTTTATGTATTTCTATTTCATGGTTCTAAACTGCCCATCTCTCTCAAAGATGGCCTCACTCGCTTATTACAATCAATAGCAGTGATGATGTTACATAGTTGGGTAATGAAACATCCACAAGAAAACAACCAAGCTCAGAGAGGACGAAGGACCCTACAGTTCAACTTTGAGCTACAATTATTCTCTTCTGTAAGTTCCACTCTGTACTTATTTGTGTTTGTTTGTTTATTCATGTCAGAAGCAGAAACATTCAGGGACTTCCGGTGGCGTTCTTGTCAACAACGGACCAGGAACCGCGATCGTGCACGGCTTTGATCCGTGCTTACCCTGTTGGAGGGATCCTTAAAGGACCGGATCCTTCTGACCCACCTCGGAGGGGTGGGGGGAAGAGGGGGAGACCGCCAGCTGGGTTGAGAGGAGCTGCATCTCCCCTCCCTGGCTTGGTAAACTCCCCTAAAAGACAGGGAGAAGTGGCAATGTTAATGGCTACCCTGAAGACGGGAAACTGCCGGGACACAAGTTTTGTGCTGGAGAGTAGAAGTGGTGAGCAGCGTGTAACTGGGTAAAAGACTTTGAATACTCTTTTTGAATATTCAAAAAATATTCAAAACTTTACTCCAAAAAAGCTGAGAGAAGGAGCCCTCGTTTGAAAGAGTGGTAGCGGCGAATCAGAAATAAGAGGAAAATATAAGGTAAAGAAAGAACCGGAAATAAAAGAATTATATACAATTAGAGACTAAATTTGGAACAATATATACCATTGGACAGTAATCAGGCATTAGATAAAATGCTGGACTTTGAACTGATAAAATTTAATATTAATACTATGGAAAAGTGATTTAAAATAAAAGAATTCTAAGAAGAAAGTGATATAGAGCACCACCTAAGGAGTCAAGATTTCTTTCTTTTATTTCTCTATGGGAAACTATCGGTTGTATAAACAAGATCCCCGGAAGCTCATAAAAAAGAAGGGGTGATTATAGTAAAATATAAAAGAACGCAATACTTTGGGATTGTTGGAAGTTGATTGTGATAAGGAAACAGAAGAAAGAGAACAAGAGATAAATGGAGACTTTTGACAAATACTATAATAGAAAAACTTGACTTTTAATAAAATAAAGAATAACTTAAAAGATCAAAGAAATGGAAGAAATAAGCAAAGAATTTAAATCGGAGCTCCAAACTGTGAGACATATGCTTAAAGAAAAAATGAGATAATTATAATTATCTGGTCGAGATAATGCTGAGTAAAGTAATGGAGTTATAGCTTGAAGAACAAAGGAACCTCAGAGAGGACGAATTAGGAGAGGAAAATAACACCCTTGACAAATATGGAGAACAAGGATCATTTTTAAAAGACATAAAAGGATTTAAGAAGAGACATTGACAACAGAGACAGCAAATAAAAGAGATAAGACACAGGAGGAGGAGGAGGAGGAGGAGGAGGAGGAGGAGGAGGAGGAGGAGAAGGGAGGAATATACAAGAAGAAACTCCCAAAAAGAGAACTGAAAAGGTGGGGGAGAACATGGCTGATGGGCAGAGGGAATTAAAAATAGACCCAGAAGGGAAAAAGAAGAAAGATTGGGGAAATTTAGAAAAGGGAAACCTACCCAAAATTAAAAGGAATGTTAAAGTCACGAGATTTTGAGATAAGGGTTAGGGATTGTATAAGGGGGGTACTACATGGGAATGTATATTGGCATTTAGTTTAAAATTTGCTGGAAATTACTTTAGGATTATATAACTCTCTCTCTCTCTCTCTCTCTCTCTGTGTGTGTGTGTGTGTGTGTGTGTGTGTGTGTGTGTGTGTATCTGTATATAATTATGCTGTTAGGAACTCTTACACTGGAGGAATAAAACCGGGGAATGGAAATGTGTTAAAATATATAAATTTTGGATAAGTGCTAAGGAAGAAAAAATATGATTAATGATTATAAGAAAAGTGAAATGTATTAAAATATATAAATTTTGGCTAAGTAGAAAAGGGAAAAAATATGATTATTAAAGACTAAAAGAAAAGTTAAGATGAAATGAGATATATTAGGAAGTCATTCTAGCGATTTAAGGGAGGAATACCTTAAAATATACATGTCTTAAAATATACAATTGATTACTTAGTGTTAATATGCTTAAAAGTTGGGGAATGAATTATTAAATTAGATAGATTGAGGGGATCCTAAATATATTGATTTTGTTTTATTCTTGCTTTTCTTTAGATTGTTTATTATATAATTGGTTTAGGGAAAATTAAGGACAAGAATGATGTGTAATGTAAAATAAAATAGGTGGTAAGCTAAAAATGGAAATAATAGGGGATAAAGAACTGGGAATCTATATTTGGATGAAATGATATTGATATTGAATTAATGAATTGAAATATAAAATAGAAATTTATTTAAAGATAAGCGAAATGGATAATGATATGAGATGATATTATATTAAGATTGGTGGAAATGAAAGTATGATTATGTAAAAGTGTTATAATCTGGAACCATGTTGCTCATGTATAGAGATGTGTAAATATTAAAAAACTTTTTGGGAAAAGAAAAGTAGCAGAAACATTCATGTGCTGCTCTCATCTTTCTTACAACTAATGTCACAAAGGTTTCCCCGTCCCCTTCCAACCTGCATGATCAATCTCTTCTGGGGGAGTGCATTTAATATTTTACCATCTAAGAAGAAAATGAGGGATGTGTTTGTTTTTTCAAAGGCACCGCATTAGGACTCCTTTTTTTTTTTAGCCAAACACTTAGAAAGGTAAACAGACATACTTATCTCCAGCTGCCTCTGGATACGATCTTTGCATCGATCTCGATATTTAGACTGAGTTGTGTTGTATTCTGTCATCACCTCCACAAACTTGCGAGATAGGGTGGAATGCTAGGGAAGAAAATGAGGATATGGTTACAGAGCCAAAGCATAGATAGATAGAGATAGAGATAGAGATAGAGATAGAGATAGAGATAGATAGATAGAGAGAGAGAGAGAGAGAGAGAGAGATGATTGATTGATTGATAGATACAGAGAGAGAGAGGGAGAGGGAGAGGGAGGGAGGGAGGGAGGGAGAGAGAGAGGATAGATGGATGGATGGATGGATGGATGGATGGATGGATGGATGGATGGATAGATGATTGATTGATAGATAGGATGGATGAAGGGATGAACAGATGGAAGGATACATGTAGAGAGATAGAAAGATATAATCCTGCTGAAGGTTAAAAAACCTTCTCTCTCGTCCTCTGTTTCAAGGAAGATTTTATTCCACTAAAACCTAAAGGAAGGGAACTGGGGTTTCTATTGTGTATCTTTTTGTGTCAAATTCTATGTGCCAAAGTATGATCGAGGTGTAAATCTGTGATCAGCTATTTTCCAGATTTTAAAAAAAAATCTTAATTTGAAAACCAATTGCACCTGTAGCGTTTAAAGGAGAGAAGGGGATAGAGCCAAAGCATGGAAATTGGTCTTAGCTAAGCAAGGGAAGTGATTACAAAACAAGCCAAACAACCCAAAGCAAAACCCACACATAGATTTAGTAGTTTCAAGGGAGAAGAAGATTTCTACTAGGAAAAAAAAAACATCCAGAAAGTTGTGGGGGAAAGAGAAGGAGAGAGACTACATGTGTGGCATTACAGTTTCAGTGTTAAAGTGTTAAGATATTTAATTTAATAGGTGGACCAGTAAAGTGTATTCTGTAATGGGCCACAATACACAGTTGTAGCTGATTGATGGAGAGTGCGGGCTCCTGCATGAGGCAATCTATGTTATGATTGGTTGCTGGATGACAAGGGGGAGTTTCCCTTTTTCACACCTTTTTTTCTGTTCTGTGATTTATCTCATGATCTTAGTCTGTACCTGATTACCTTGTCTGCTGTAAATATAGGTGTTAAATATATGCATTCATTTAAAACTACAAGTTTGTGCCAGCGTCTCTGACTTCATTTGGAAGCCACCGGCGCAGTTCCCTGACATAAAGACATTGGCTAGAACAACTGATTAGGAACTGTTTTTGCCAAGGATCCTAATAACATGACTGCAGTTTTTAATTATTAACATCATAACTTGGGATTCACATGTGTGTTGCTGAAAAAAACCAAAACATTACTAATCTTTGTCATAGGCAGCTGCTGCTTTAGATAAGATATTCTCTTAAGAGTGAAACAGCACTGTGCACCCTGGGGACGGTATTCCAAATCAAGGAAATTTAGAATAGTAAGATAATCAGATGGGAAAATATATAAAGCTTGGTTGTCTGAGAAAAGTCATTTTTCAGGAGCAAACAATCAGGAGCATTTATTGAGTTCAATCCACAGAAGAGTTTATTACTGCTACCTATACACAAGAATCTGATCAATTAAAGGTCAAATTTTAATTGGCACTAGAATTCGCATCTGTCTCTTGATTCCAAATTAATGACATGTTTAACTTCGCCTTCCAGCTCAGCCTGCTCTTCTCCTTGATCATCCGCTCAAAGAATTAATTTTCGCTGTTTATTGGGTAGCAGCTGTAATTGGGATCATGAGTTGAATGAGGAAAAGAGATGGTAAAGTCACAGCTGCAATATAAAGCTTGTCCTTTCTAACATAGGGTACCCAACTTATGTTGGCTTGAGGACCACACTTGTCCTCACCCAGCATGTCATTTGCAAGGAAGGCAAGGAAGAAGAGATTTAAGGATTGTAAGGGGTTAGGAACACTTTATTTACAGTAGGGGTGTCCTTGTGGATTTTAACTCCCAAAATTCCCCAGTCAGCATGGCTAGCTGGGGAATTCTGGGAGTTGAAATCCACAGGTTTTAAAGTTGACCAGTTTGGAGACTCTATAACTCCAATGCCTCAATTCTGCAATCAGAGGCTCATTTCAATCTTCTTTAAAAAAAAAAAAACCTCTGCCCAATTCAGAAGTTGTTTCAAAAGGAAAAGAGGAAAATAATCCCTAAATTCCAATGAAGAAACTAACACAAACAAGATTATGGGAAAAACAAAATAGGAAAATGAAGAAAAGAACACAAAGGGAAAAAGCAGCCACTTGAGAAGATCCAAGGCGAGTACCTGTGTTTTCCGGATTCTCAAGTCGGCGGAGGATCGGTTCTGCACCTCTTCCTGCTCAATTCCCTGCTCAATCGCTGGAGGAAAGAAAATAGATAAGGAATCAGAGGTGTAGTATAGAAATGAAAAACCAGTGAATTAGTGAAACAGAAATTTGAATTGTTGCCCTTAAAGGTGAGCTGATGAGCTACAGATGAAGTCCCCCAGGCTAGGGGTCAGTCCCACTAGAAGAAGACAGGCTGCAATAGTACATGGGAAAGACCTTGTGAAATAATAGGATAGATGCTACCTAGAGAATAGTCAGATTACAGACAACAAAGGTCATGGCTGAAAAATGGACAAGTTTTATTAATGAAACTTTACAAGACAGTACAAATTAGTTTATCTAGTTGTTTTCCGTATGGTCTACACAGCAAGGCTGACATCACTTCAGCAAATTTGAAAGTACAGTCCTCCATCGTCTCCTTTATAGAAGGTTTCTTCTTTTGCCCTGCCTGTTTGCAGCTGCAGTCTATGCTGTTTCTTATCTAACCATTCATTAGGCAGCATCTCTTTGCCCCATCTCCCAAGGTCTTCTCCACCTAGTAGTGCAGCATGAAATCAACTTCATAGGATGTCTAAAACTACTTTTATTGAGATTGGCTAGAATAACAGTACCTTGCAAGTCTGATTGTTTTGCACCTCCTCTTTATATTTCACTGAATTAGAAAAGTGTCTTGTCTGACTTACTTTCTGAATATTATCGGGATGTTCTAAATCTAAAAAGACTTTTTAGCCTGCTTTGCTTAGGTAATAGAGTCTGCGTATCTCTGTCAAGGTCATCTTCCTTACTGTGCACACTAGGGCATCCTCCTGCAGTTTAGAGTGTTTCCATCTATCTGATCCCTTCATGAACCAAGTTGTGAAAATTTCTAGGTCAAGACGGGCACAAAAAATCAGAATCATAGTTAAGTTCCAGTTAAGAAGATTTATTGCTCAATACCTATATACAAGAATCTAATCAACTAATGGTCAGTACTAAATTACCATTCGAGAAGAATCAATGGAATTTTTTTTTGGGGGGGGGTGCAGTTGGACTTGAAATGTTTGTAGACACATAAGGGTTCTAGGCTGCATCCACTCGACTCCACCTCTGCATTTCTTTCTCTTGACTGAGGATCAATCATCATTTGCTGTGATAATATAACTGAAGCTTTGCAAACTATCTTAGGTTTGTAACTCAAGAGTCAGTTTATTGTAGCAATTATGATTGTTAATTAATTAAAATGTATTAAAAACTCATTTAACTTGTTATTAAATTAATAATAGACTTTGTTTAAACTTGTCTCAATGATGCTCTCAACCACCAAAGAAATTACAACCAAATCATTAAAACATAAAGTGTAAAGATAAAAGATGCCAAGCATGATGAAGTGCAGGACACTTCCTTGCCAAAGGCCTGGATAAAAGATGCTGGACCACAAAAATTCACATTTGAATCCAAATAAGTTTTGAACTGACTTCAGACCAGTCACCACCTTTCAGAACAACCTTCCACAATTGTTATGGGAATAAAAATCAGAGGAGGGAGAACAAAATATATTATCCAGAGTTCTTGGAGGAAAAGCAATATACAAACCTAACAAACTAATTAACTGGACAAATATTTGTGTGAGAAAGTAAAATGCGTACATGTAGTACTTTAGTTACAATGGCAATTGGGACTGGAATTTCTATCACAAAGTGATGCAGTCGTAAAACATATCACATGCCCACTTCACTTAGCAACAGCAATCCCAACAGTCCAACAGCTGTCATAACCCCAGGACTGCATAAGTAATTAACCAAGGACTTCCTGGGAGCATGGCATGGGAAGAGGTAAGTGTCTCTGACAAGCAGGCTAGCAAAGAGCTATAGGTGAGCATGCAGGTGACATGGGTAGGTGCTCTGGGCATGCAGGTGACATGGGCAGGTGCTCTGGGAAGGTGTGTGGATGCTGCAGGCAGGTGCTATGGGGCATAGGTGCTGAGTGTAGTGAAGACGGGTACCTGGGATTGTGGGCAGATGCTATGAAGGATGGGCAGGTATGCAGGTGCTGCTAGGAAGCTCTATGGAGCGTAGGTGGGTGAGTACAAGAAGGTTGAATGTAACTCCTTGTAACTTTACTAACAGATCAATGTATTTTTCTTTGCAATAATTCAAGATAGAAGTAAAAGTGGCTGACTTTAAAAGGTAATTTTAAGACTCATTATAATGCTATTAAGTCACTCACTTCATTGAAAACCCAATAAACATACATTTTATGCTAACGGAAAAAAAAAGACATAAAGCTGCAGTTTCAGCTCTTACCTTTTAATTTGGAGCGCACCTTGTTGGCCGTCTTCTTGATATCAGCTGTGAGGTCCTCCAATTCCTGCTTAGTTTCTGCAAGATGAAAAACAATAAGAAGACGCTGAAGCTTAAAAACCAAAGAAAACTATGCTAGGTCAGGTCAAGAAGACATCTAATCGAGCATTCTGCGTCCCTCAGTGGTCAATCACGTGCATTCAACTCACAAACCTGGTACAGAGAGGTATCCCCTCTTTCTTGACACTCCTCAAAACTTGGTATTTAAAATATGTTCACTGTGATATAGAGGTAATAAGCAGCCATTAAGACATATGCCCTCTAAAATAGTCTCCTTTTAAAAGCACCTACATTGGTGGCCATCACTATACCTGATGACAGAGAACCCCATTTTGAGCATAGGTAGTCCTTGGCTAATGAGGATAATTTGGACCAGAATTTCCACTGCTAAGTGATGCACTCATAAAGTCCAAATTCATGTGACCGCATCACTATGTAACAGCAATCCTGACAGTCTCCATTGCTTGATAAGTAAGATTTGCAGGTTGTTAAGGACCTCCTAGCAACTTCCTGCCAGATTCCAACAACCAAAGTCAATGAGGAAGTTGGCAGGAAGGTGCAAGTTCCAGGCACTCACGAGGAGATTGACGGGAAGTTGCTGCTTCCACGTGGTGGGAGAGGCACAGGGTTGTGTAAGGGGCTGTTGCAACAAAACACTAGGCAAGGCTTGGGGTGACTTCTGCCTGGTGGGGGAGACTTATCAGAGCGACTTGCAATCTTCCTGCTGGCTTCCCCAGAGCTTTGTTTGTGGGAAGCTGGCAGGGAAAGTCACAAATATCGGCTGTATGACCATGGGACTCTGCAACCGTCCTAAGTGTGAGCAGGGTGCCAAGCATCCGGATCATGATTGTGTGACTGTTGGGGTGCTAGCACAGCCAGAACTTTGAGGAGAATATGTGATTGTTAACTTATAAAGGAGAATATTTGTAGCGCAGGGTTGAAATGAGAGATCCTTGGTGCTCTCTGAGCTTGCTTATTTTCTTGCGGACGTTTCATTACCCTAACTAGATAACATCATCAGTGTTAGTCCTGATGATGTTACCTCGTTAGGGTAATGAAATGTCTGCAAGAAAAGAACCAAGCTCAGAGAGCACCAAGGATCTCTCATTTCAACCCTGCGCTACAAATATTCTCCTTTATTCATCCTCAGATCTACCCTTTTACTGATTCTAAATCTCCAGCCTGAAGTTCTGTGAGTGACACCATTGCTAGCCTTGTGAGAAGAGGAGAAAAAGCTTTCCCTCTCTCTCAAATTTTGCATGATGGGATACTCCTCCATCTTGTCTCATCTTACCCACTGCCTGGGTTCCAAACATTGCAGTCTTTCTTTGAACAGGAGCTGTTCCAGTTCTCTAACCCCAGCCACATTTCCAGCAATTTGGAGGAGAGGGTTGAAATGATGGCCTTACACATGCAGTCCCTACCTCCAACCTCCCACAGGAACTGGTGAAAGCACACTGGGCATCTCCAGTGTGTATGTATGAGCGGCTCAGGATGCATATGCAAGGACCACTAAAGAGGCTGGGCAGTCGTAGTATTCTACTGGTTCAGCCTGGTTCTGCAGAGCCGGTAGCAGGGATGAGCAGCAGAGACCAAACTGGTTCTCTCCACCACTCTGCTGTTGGGCCTACCCGCCTGCCCGGGCTCCCATACTCACCTTTATCCTCTGAATTTGAAGGGCAGCTGCTTTGCGTGGCACAGAAAAGTGCCAAGTGGCAGCTGCTGAAGTGACCGGGATCGTGCAGGCTTGCAGGAGGTGAGTTAGAACGCCTCTGGCACCTGCGCAAACGCCTCTGAGCCTGTGCAAAGTGCTCACTAAGCCACGCCCACCAAACTGGTGCTAAAAATATTTGAATCCCACCACTGAGGTTGGGTCTATGTTTTCACTCACTCTCATCTGGGTTGGGAGCAGCCAAGATGGCGCTGTGCTGTTTCTTCACCAGCTCCACATCTTCTGAGAGCTTTTCAATGCAGCCACGGATTTCCTCTACCTGAACAAGAAACACAGAAGCATGCATCAATTCTCGCTCATATGGCTCGCTTTAAACCTTAGGAATTAGGATAGGCGTAGGTTTTTCAGAGTTGCTACCAGAGTTGTAAGTGATGAGTTCCCTTGGGGTTTTTAAGAATCAGAGCCTGGGTTCATACTATTCAGCAGTGGCTGGTTCAAAAAACATTTGCTTGAGTTCATAAAGACAGAAATAATGAGAGTCACGATAGCTGCATCTGCAAAATACTGTAAGATAAAATCAAATAGACTACAGTTAGTCCTTGACTTATGATCACAACCATTGGGAAACAAGACAGTGGTTAAGGGAGTCATGCCCAATTTTAGAAACTTTTTTTGCCACTGTTGTTAAGTGAATCATACAGTTGTTAAGCAAATTCTGGTTTTACCACTGACTTGCTTATCAGAAACCAACTGGGAAGGTCACAAATGGCCATTACATGACCATGGGATGCTGAAAGCTTTGTAAATACATGTGGATTGCCAAACATCCAAATTTTGATCATGTGATCATGGGGATGTTATAAAGGTCATATGTATGAAGACCGGCCATAAGTCACTTTTTCAGTGCCCTTGTAACATTGAACAATCACTAAATGTTAACGAGGATTATCTGTACATTACGGCATAAAGTAGGCTGTGAATCTAGCCAGAGTCATCCAAGACTTGAAGCTGATTGCAAAGTTAGGAAATGAAAAGATCACGACAGGCCCAGTCCATCCAACTGCAGCTATCATTGTCTTTCTTTACTGCAACCTTCTCAATCCTGAGTCAGCCATGTTGGCCTAGGAATTTGAAAAACTGCAGTCCTAGTATCTTTAAAACAGCAGCCCCCCCCTCCCCCAACCTTTTGGGCACCAGGGACCGGTATGGTGGAGAGGTTTTTCCATGGAATGGAGGGGGCGTGGTTTCATGTGCTGCCTTCATATCGCAGATGGGCCTTTGCTTGTTTGCCCGGCCCAGTTTCTGGCACGTTGTGGACCAGAGCCAGTTCATGGCTTGGGGGGGGGGGGAGAAGCGGTTGGGGACACTTGCTTTAAAAAGTATTAGATTGGGGTGATATATTGTCTGCCTTCCTCTGCAGCAGGTCCCACTATTGCAAGTTATCTCCCTGCTTCCTTCAGATGGTAGCCCACCAAGAACAAGATTTCATACTCTCCTCCGATAGAATAGAATAGAATAGAATAGAATAGAATAGAATAGAATAGAATAGAATAGAATAGAATAGAATTCTTTATTGGGCAAGTGTGATTGGACACACAAGGAATTTGTCTTGGTGCATATGCTCTCAGTGTACATAAAGAAAAGATACATTCGTCAAGAAACGTCAGGTACCACACTTAATAATGTCATAGGGTACAATAAGCAGTCAAATCATACTAGCAAACAGACGATATGGATTGTAAGGATACAAGCAAGAAAGTTACTGTCATACAGTCACAAGTGGGAGGGGATGGGTGATAGGAATGATGAGAAGATTAATAATAATAGTAGTGCACACTTTGTAAATAGTTGAACAGTGTTGAGCGAATTATTTGTTTAGCAGAGTGATGGTGTTCACGAAAAAACTGTTCTTGTGTCTAGTTGGTTCTGGTGTGCAATGCTCTATAGTGTCGTTTTGAGGGAAGGAGTTGAAACAGTTTATGTCCGGGATGTGAGGGGGTCTGTAAATATTTTCACAGCCTTCTTTTTGACTTGTGCAGTATACAGGTCCTCGATAGGTAAGAAAGGACAATTCTAGCAGTGGGATCCTGATTGCATGCATGCAGCTTCCCGCACACTAGCTGAGGCCTGCTGCAGCGCCAATCAGCGGAGAGGATAAAGAAGCGAAAAGCGCAGGTGCCAGAGCCCAGCTTTTCTCAGAGGCTTTTTTCCCTCCTGTCAGCTGATCAGAGGCTTTTTTTTTTTTTTACTACCAGTTTGACTGAACCGGTCCGAACCGGTAGTATACCACCACTGACAAAATTGCAGAAAAGTGCTGCTTCACTGCTCATAAGCCATCATGCAGTAAACACAACCAATATATATTTCTTTTATAGGCAAATGTCTAAAATTAATTGCTCAGGTATCATTTTTATCCCCAGAGGACATTCCAATGCCCAAAGAAACAACAGTTAGTCCTCAATTTACAACAGTTCATTTAGTGACCATTTGAAGTTACACCGGCCCTGGAAAAAGTGACTTTTGATCGCCCCAAAGGTGCTTTATTCAAGAGGCAACAGGACTGTCTGGTTTTTCTTTGAAAATGTTCCCCTTCTCACCCAAGAAGCTTCTTCAGCTCTCTCAGAGAAAAGTCTTCACAGAAAAAAATAGAAAGTCCAGTTGCCTCTTGAAAAAAAGCACCTTTGGTGACCTGGATGAAAGTGATGATTTATGACCGCTTTTCACACTTACGACTATCGCAACATTCCCATGGTTACTTGATCAAAATTTGGACACTTGGCAACTGTCGTGCATTTATGAGTGTCTCAGGCTCAGGCTATTCCCTTTTGTAACCTTCTGACCAACAAAATCAATGGGGAAGCCAGATTCACTTTACAGCCAGGTTACTAATTTAACATCTGACGTGATTCACTTCACCATTGTGGCAGGAAAGGTCGTAAAATAGGGCAAAATTCACTTAACAACTGTTTCACTTAGCAATAGAAATTCTGGGCTCACTTGTGGTCATTACATGCCTATAGTGGTGGAGGCTGTTCGGATCATTTGTAGAAACACACAATCCCTTCCTTGGCTTAGTGGAGGAGATGAGAGCGAAGGAGTGTGTAATTCTCCCAGGTGTATGCTGGGAATGCAAGGGCCCTTTTACTAAGAGCTCTCCTTAACTTGAACAAGCCATCGGCCTTGAGACAAGAAACCCTGTGCCTCCTTCAGAAGAACAGTGGGCAGCAGGACCCTGGGGATACCAAAATCAGGAAGGCCGAGGCAAGCTGGCTGCTGATGTCATCAAAAGGCGACATCCAGTGGAGGAAATATATTATATATTTGATATATATTTAGAATTGGGATTATTAAAGTGGATTCTATAATGTGGTTCTTATTCTTAGCGTGATCATATATGCATACTGGGAGGAAGGTTTATTGTTGAAAGATGTTCACTGTGGGTGCCCCAAAGATGCGAGCTCCAATTCAATAGGGGGGTCTTATCCGGAGCCCAGTCAGGTTTTAAAAACGGTAAAATGGGGGTGAAAAAACAAGTGTTTTCTATTCTTCCATATCAATATCAGACTAAAAAGAGAACTTTTCCAAGAGATGGTTGCATTCTTGAGCATCTCTGTGGATACCATATGAACAAACTATGTGGGTTTTGCAAAGCATAGGTAGTCCTCGACTTACAACAGTTCATTTAGTGACCTTTCAAAGTTACAACAGCACTGAAAAAAATGGCTTTATGGATGTTTTTCACACTTAATGACTATTGTGGCATCCCCATGGTCATGTGATCAAAATTAATGATTGGCAACTGACTCATATTTATGACAATTGCAGTGTCACGTGATCATCTTTTGTGAGCTTCTGACAAGAAAGTCAATGGGGAAGCCAGATTCACTTAACAACCATGTTACTAAACAATTGCAGTGATGCACTCAACCACTATACAAAAAAAGTCATAGACTAAGCAAAGTTCACATAACAAATGTCTTGCTTAGCAACAGAAATGTTGGACTCAATTGTGGTTGTAAGTTGTGGTTGTATATTTCTTTTTCTATTCCATTTGGAAAGAAAGGGACCATTGAACTGAGAAATGGGTTATTGTAAAGGTTGCATTCCCTTGCAAGTAATATTATGGTGAAATGGATCCATATCCATTATTTACTTTCCCCTTCTCATTTACCCCAGTCCATCCTTTCATCCACACAGTTCTCTTCATATTTAAAGAAACCCATAAACAAAACAAGAAGCTGTAAACTCAAAGATGCTTTTTCCAAAAGGCAACTGGACTTTGTTTTTCTGTTTTTTCCTTTTGCTTCTCATCCAAGAAGCTTCTTCAGTTCAGAAGCTTCTTGAATGAGAAGCAGAATGTTTTCAAAGAGGAAAAAAACCCCAAGAAAGTCCAGCTGCCATTTGGAAAAAGCACAACCATGACATGGATAATTGACAATCTCCATAGACACATCTGTAAAGAAGCAAAATATAAATGCAAAAGGGAGAAGGATTGGTGGTGGAGAAGGAAGTGATGGTTGGTGGTCCCAAGTAGATAGTTTTTGCACTTGTCGATAATTTGCACCTGTTAGTTATATTTACAGATTTCCTTCAAATTATTGTCTATGGAGAGTCTCAGTTATCCAGGTCATGATTGTCCCAAAGGTGGTTTTTCAAAAGGCAACTGGGCTTTGTTTTTCCTTGAAGACATTTTGCTTCTCATCCAGGAAGCTTCTTCAGTTCTGATTGAATGGTGGAGAATGGAAGAATTTACTGAAGGGAATATAAATCCTTCCATCCTCCACCATCCAGTCAGAGCTGAAGAAGCTTCTTGGATGAGAAGCGAAATATCTTCAAAGAAAAACAAAGTCCCATTGCCTTTTGAAAAACCACCTTTGGGCCCTTCAGATTATTGAAAAGCTCAACATGGTTTCTTCTGTTAGAGAGTGGCAGTAACCTTAACTCATCACTAGAGGGTAGTGTGAAAGGACTTGACCCATGTTTGGGAACTGATTCTAGGAAGCCTTGCCCAAGGTCCTGAAACATTCAGCCTCTGCTCAGACCGCGCAGCATTCTTTTATCAATACCTTTCAACCGAATCATTACTTCAGCACCGACAGGGGCTTCTTTCCATGGTACACTTGACACAAACTTTAGTGGATCCAGTCAGCATTTGACACCTTAACCTAATGTGAGCCACGTATGAGACTGAGAGGCCTGTTTGCCTAAATCCAGGTCAACAACCCCTTGCTCCTATGATGTAATTTCAAAGGGCAAGATCTCTCCAGACTGTAAGACTCCAGAACATAATCACTGATGTACTTTGGGGAAAGGACCAGACATGCAAACATCAATTTCACAGTTCCTAACCCTGCATTTCTCCATCTCCAGCACCTGTGCATTACAGAGGCTGCACAGTACCATTAAAAGACACTTTTGCATATTAAATACCTGCCATTTGAGGACCAACTGGCTTAATGTGGGTGAAAGAAAGGTGCCTTGGGAAATGAAAGAAATGCAGGCAAGGATTCAGATTCTCTCACCTATAATTCCCCATTTATTTCCCCACCTTTAAATTTGAGCTTCCATCGGTATGGGAGGTTTTTTTTTTATTTTAAAAAATGCCAATGTTCATCTGTATTTAAAGACACAGCTTGCTTCCATCCAACAAAAATGCTGAGAAATGTATCTCTTAGCTCTGTAGTCCAGTTTTGGTGTAAAGACTCAATCATTCCCGATATAATAAAGGAAAACTTCTGAGCCTAAGGAGAGTGGTCTGCAGCTAGAACAAGGGAGACTTCATGTTCTGGAGAGTTTTTAGAAACAGCCAAATATGGATATGTTCCCAGTTAGCAGTATAATAGTTACTTCACTTATTTTCTGTCACAAGCTACAAATACAGAATTTTGTAGAATTAAAAGTTATGGATTCTTACAACTGTGGTTTCCACTTCTCATGAGGCCAGGGTTTTCTTTTTACTTTGTGAGTGTGCAATTACGGTGATAATTATTATGGTTATAAGCTGAGCCATAACATTTTTTGACCTTTTTGGGGTGATTGTTAAGCAAATGCCATGGTCCTTAAGCAAATGGATTTTCCTCAAAGGGATTTTTTTTGTCAGAAACTGGAAATAAATACTGGAAACTGTCAAAAACATTGCAAATCATGGTTATGTGACCATGAGAGGCTGCAAATCTCTTTAAAGTTGATCCAGTTGCCAAGTTCCCCAAACAGAATCCTGTGACTAGGGAAAGGGCATAGCAATCATAACTTCCAAGCAGATCATAAGCTGCTATGGGGATGTGTGTTGTAACTTCAACTGGCCATTAAGTGACTGGTCATAAGTTTAGGACTGCCTATAGGTTGAAAAATATATGACCAAACCCAGGTTTCATTTCAGAAGCCATAAGCACTGTCTGAGGCAGGCCTTGCATATCCACTTCATAAATGATAAATAACAGCCTGGGAATATTCAACTAAAATCTTGATAGCCTGGAACCAAGCTATCTCTAACAGTGGCCAGCTAGTAACCCTTCTTTGGGAAGCTTGCAGAAAAGTCTACTTTCGTCTATGTTCAAAAGTAACCTGCATCTGAACAGGGAAGTTCCATCTACTAAAACTTAAAATCCAGATCTGATCAATTGTTTTCTTTTGCCTATTGCTTTCTTGAGATATGAATCTAAAATACATTTATGACTCTGAAATGAATTGTCTTATTTCTTTGATAGGACTGAATCAGCAGTGAACTCATAATTATAAAAGATAGGTAGGTAAATAGGTAGGTAGGCAGACAGATAGACAGACAGACACACACACACATGGGTAATCTCCTGAAATATTAATTGTTGTTAGAAAAAGACATTTCTGACAAATTTGTTAAATAAAAACAAACTACATAAGAACTGCAATGCCCAATGTGAATACCTTGACTCAGTTCTGAATTCCTTATCTTTTTTGCAAAAACCTTCAAACCTATCTTTCATCTTACCTGCTCAAAGAATTCATCCATGAAGTGGTCTCGATCCACATGTACCACCTCTTCCTCATCATCGCTGTCTTTGGCCTATCCAAGAAATAAAATTGATACAGATTAGATCATAATTGGTCTCTACCTTAAAAGCAACACTGATCCTTGCTCTCTTGCCTGTTTCAAATTATTATAAATATAGTGTTAGGGTAAATGTTAAGAAAGCAAATACCACTTCTTGGGAGTAACAAGTAAAATCCCAATTTTTCTAGACAGAAACACAAGAAGAATATTTAAAACTTTGGATCAAATTAGAATATTGTCCTCTCAGGCTTAACAATGTTTATGGCAATTTGCAGGTTTCAGCTGTCTTCTCTATTTTCCCTGCAAGGAATTAATTCTGTGAAAAATTTCTGGCTAATATTTCCAATTTTCTGCTTTCCTTTTCTTTAATATATTTCAAATCTTCACTGCACACATAGACACCACTTGTAGAATCTGCTGATTTCTCTAAATTTACCAACATCTTCAGGGTGATGTTATGATTCTTTGCATTTACAAAAAAGAATGACACACAAACCCCAAATCACACCCCCAAAATAATAGAATTAACAATGTCATGCAAGGAGAAATATTGTGATAATGGGTTCTTTTAAGATTTTTCCCTTGTTGTATAAATCTCATGAAATATGGGCCATTTGTTTTTTTAAAAATCTTTCAAGAAAATGATAGTGCCCTCACATCATGTGAAATCACATTAAAGTGTTCGTGACTTGAAAATATTATTATAATTAGCTTTTTCCCCCACATAGCTAAGGCACCCAACTGAAAAACCTAATTTTTGAAAACAAGCATTTTCATGCTTCTTAATAAAAGCTTGTTACATGAAATCTGCCTCATTTTAACAGCAGAAATCCAAGACAATCCAGACTCCAGTTGGATGCATTAATATGATTGGCAGAGGGAAATCTAGGAAAACAGCCAGGAAATCAAAACACATCCAACTACACAGGCAGATGGGAATATACTATATATCCAATAAAAATATCTTTCCAGACAAACTTTGCAATGAGAAAGATAGAGGCTCTGGAGGCAAGCTAGTCATATTTACAAAACAGGGTAGAAATTCATTCATACTAAAACATCCAAAAAGCAGGAAGAAGAGGTTGTTATTATTTTATGTTTTGGGTGCATAATTAGTCATAGCTTATTTATGCCTTCCGTTTAATGACAACATGTGGCATAATATTAAGCATAATATTAAATTATCCATCATGTTGAGCTCCAATTGGAGAAAGTAATGCGGAAGAAGTTGGCTGTCACTTTCTTAAGAGAATACTTCTGAACTCCCCAGTCTAGTCTGCATCCCTGGGATCTCCCAGTAGTCTCCCATCCAGGATCTCACAAAGGTTGATCCTGCCTTGTGTTTCCAGAGCAGCCACTGTCATTTGCTATCACAAGAATAAATGCAGTAATTGCCAGGTGCAAGAATCAGGACCATCGGTTAGATTGCAGCATAGAAGATTTACTCAAGCCAATACATAAGAATCTGGTCAACAAAAGTTTGAAGCTAAATTGACACCAGGTAAAGGTCAATAGAATTCGAGCAGGGTTGAACTTGAGCGCTTGTCGGAATGCAATAACTCCAAGCTGATGACATGTTTAATTCCACCTTCCTCAGCTCTGCCTGCTCTTCTCCTACAGCAACCGTCATACAAGGCTGTAATTAAGCATGTGCAAAACCTTAGCTATTTGAGCTTAGACATTAAACCCCCCATTACCTACAAACACACACACACAAATATACGCCACTGGGTAGGCTTAGCCCCTGGCAATTTATGTTCTAGAATATTAAGCATCCTCTGAAGGCTTAAGAGGAAGAATTAGCAGATAGAGGGGACAGGAGGCCTTCCTGCTGCAAGGAGCACAAAGTTTGTATCTCAACTCCTAGAAGGGGAAAAATCAGCCTGCCTGCCTTCTGTAGGTTAGGAAAACATGGAGTCATTCCTCCTTTCCCTTGCTCTAACACTCTAACCTTCAAGCTTTGTTTCTTTTCTAGAAAGGGGTTGGGGGAAAAGCCACTTAAGAGTTCTCCTGGGTGCCTCTATTTTTCCAACCTGGGACTGAATTCATAGACATAACAAATCCACATTTGGGGAGCAGAGGTGTGCAAATGAAGGCCCTAAGCCAGAAGTTTCCCTTCACTTAGCTGTTCACTGGTTGACATTTTAATGAGTCTAAAATGTGAGAAATATTAATTTACAGCAGGGGTGGGATTCAAATTTTTAACAACCAGTTCTGTGGGTGAGGCTTTGGTGGTGGGCCTGGCTTAGTGGTCATGTGACTGGGTGGACATGGCTTAGTGGTCATTTATTGGCTGGGTGTGGCCAACTCAATATCACTCACATTGAGGCACGCATCTCCTTGCCTGGCCTCCCATGACTTGTGGGGATGCTGCAACAGTCGTATAAGTGTGAAAAATGGTCATAAGTCACTTTTTTCAGTGCCATTGTAACTTTAAATGGTCACTCCACACAAGCAAAGTACCAGCAAAGGAGGGACAAAAAACTCCAGAGAGGTTCCTGAGACAGGATGTCTAGTCCTGCAAAGAATGTAATAAGGGCTAATGGAAAGGCAGTTTCTGTAAGCAATACCAGAATGTTTCCTTCCTGCCTTCCTTACAGGATTAGGCCAGTAATTTCTTCTAACAACCAGTTCTCCGAACTGCTTAGAATGTTAACAACCGGTTCTAGTGAAAAAGTGCAAACTGGTAGAATCTCACCCCTGATTTACAGGTGTGTGACTAGAGAATAATCATATTAGATATATTTCACTATATCAAGTATGTTGAAGGGGGTCAAGATAGTGTTACAATGATGTGATTAAAGCCCCATTTCTTCCTTTGTGCCACCTGTTGGGATTATAATATTTAGAACTCTGTCTGGGAATCCTAAAATATATAATCTTAAAATATCAGAAGGCTGCTGGGTTGAAGAAATTCAGTTTGAAGGATTTGTTTCCAGGTAGAGACGTCAGAGGTGGAAATTCGCAGCCCTCTGGAATTTATAGCGTGGAAACCAGCAGAACAGCCTGTAACCCTTTAATACAACCTAGAATGGAGGAAGAAAGGGGGTGAAAAGGATTATTCAGGCCACAAATGGGGTGACTTTTCCAGCATCATTTAAACCAGTGGTCGCCAACCAGTGGGCCAGGGATCCCTGGTGTTCCACAAGAAAATTTTGGCGGTCCGTAGAGAAATATCACCCCCCAAAGCACCCCCCAAAAGCAATTAATCCAGGCTGTGTGGGAACATAAGGCTGCACCGCCCATGCGGCCCGTGGGAACACAAGACTTGCGTTGCTTGCATTGTGAATAACATGAGGTAGTGCTGGGAGGGGGGAAAGGGTGGAGGGAGGAACTTGCCCCCCACTCCTGGCCTGGCCAATGGGCTGCTGCTTTCCGCTTCTTTGTTCTGCTTTTGGCTGCACACAAGGAAAGCAGCAAAAGTCTTTCTCTCCCCCAAACTCTGCTAGAAATAAGTCTTTGGGACCCTACAAGGCATCCTGCTCCAAGAGGCTGCATAGGCAAAGACTCATTTCTGGTGGAGTTTGGGGGAGAGAAAGAAAGACTTCTGTTGCTTTTGCTGCTTTCCTTGCATGAAGCCAAAAGTCTCAGTCTCAGTCTCAGTCTCTTTCTCTCTCTCTTCCCCATCCTCTGAGAATGGAGCTGGAGACGGTATCCTGCGATCCCAAATAAAGAATGATCAATTGGTAGGAAAACGGGGTGGGGAATTTTCCTGCTGATTTTGGGGGGGGGATTTTCCCAGGGTCTCTGGTCCACGGGATTTAAAATTATGAGTTTGGTGGTCCCTGAGGTCCAAAAGGTTGGCGACCCCTGATTTAAGCAGCTCCAACAGACAGTCCTCGACCTACAATGGTTTGTTTAGTGACCATTCAAAGTTACAATGGTACTGAAAAAAGTGACTTATGACATTTGTCACTTATAACCATTGCAGCATCCCCATGGTCACATGATCAAAATTCAGACGCTTGGCCACTAACTCATATGTATGACCGTTGTAATGTCTTGGGAGTCACACAATTCCTTTTTGTGACCTTCTGACGAGCAAAGTCAATGGGGGAAGCCAGATTGACTTAACAACCATATTACTAACTTAACCAGTGCAGTGATTCAGTGAACAACTCTGGCAAGAAAGGTCACAAAACGGGACAAAACTCATTTAGTAAATGTGTTGCTTAGCAACAGAAATTTTGGGCTCAGTGGTGATCTTAAGTTCGAGGACTATCTGTATTTACTCTGCAATCAAGAATATATAGGTTGAAGCTGACCAAAATAAAAATCTTCCTAGGTGATACCCACATTTTCCCCTTCAGCATTTTCTCCTTGCCCACCAGTACTTGACACTTAAAGAAAAAATTAGAATCGTTATGGGTCCTTTGGGAGAAATAACTGGCAAGCAACCTTGAAAGTTACTGCGAGATGGGCAGCAGCTAGATATTACTGTATGATACATACTTTTCATTTTCTGTTTGCTTTATTAACTTTATTTTTATTTGTGTTATTCTACCTTCCAGCGCTATATTGTAAAACCCAGGAGTGCCAAAGGTTGCCGCATCCTATGCCATCAAGTCCCGCCTCAACCAATCATTCCTAACTCTTGATCCCCTCCATTAGCATATGAGAATTATATAGCCAGCCTTTTGGCTCCCCCAATTATTTTTCTGCCAGACCTATGGTTGGCTGTCTCATTCACGATTGGCCGTTCTACAAATCTCTTTGCATTAGCTCTTTATGTTACTTTTGGCTGGTTCCAGTAATTAAGCTACCTTAAGTCTGGATCCCTGACATCCTCTTATTCTCGAAAGTTATTGGTTGCTTCACTGGCTAATTTGCATCATGGCCTGAGAGACGAGACAGGCCAAGGTCATCTTGTGGAATAGATGAGTAACCCTATCTGGTCAGACAAACAGACCATCCATCTCTGACAATGGCCGTCAGAAGCAGCTGGAGGGGGGGCCACTTATGAGTCTATCTAT